CCGACCACACCCTCCCTTTAGAGGCAGGTACTGTCTAACCCCCCACCACCCTTCCTTCAGAGTGCAGGTATGTATTTTCCCACCCCCCTTCCCCCAGAGTGCAGGGGACTGTCTACCCCCCACCACCCCTCCTTTGAGTGCGGTACTGTACTACCCACCCCACCCCCCCCTTCAGAGTGCAGGTACTGTACTCCACCACCAACCTTTTTTAGAGTGAGGTATGTATACCCACCCCCCACCCCTCCTTCAGAGTGCAGGTACTGTACACCCACCACCACCCCCCCCTTCAAGTGCAGGTAGTATTTCCGACACCACCCCCTTCCCTTTGAGTGCAGGTACTGTATACCCACCCCCCCCTTCCTTTAGGTGCGGGACTGTATTTCGACCCCCCACCCTTCCTTTAGGTCATAGTACTACCACCCCACCCCCTTCAATGTGCGGTACGTTTTCCGACCACCACCCTTCCCCTTCAGAGTGCAGGTACTGTACTCCCACCACCCCCCCTCCCTTCAGAGTGAGGTACTGACTACCCCCCCACCACCCTCCTTCAAATGCAGGTCTGTACACCACCCCACCCCTTTCCCTTTTGAGTGCAGGACTGTAATACCCCACCACCTTCCTTTAGAGTGCAGGTACTGTACTACCACCCCCACCCCTTTAGAGTGCAGGTACTGTACTACCCCCCCACCACCCTTTCCTTCAGATGCGGTACTGACTAAACCCCCCACCACCCCTCCTTCAAGTGAGGGACTGTATACCCCCCCCCACCCCTCCTTTGAGTGCAGGTAATGTACTACCCCCACCACCCTCCTTCAGAGGGCGGGATGTCTACCACCACCACCCTTCCTTCAGAGGGGAGTACTGTACTACCCACCACCACCCCCCCTTCAGGTGCAGGTATTTTATCCCCCACCACCCTTCCTTCAGAGTGAGGTTGTACTACCCCCACCACCCTTCCTTCGATGCAGGTATGTAACTACCCCACCACCCCCCCCCTTCAGAGTGCAGGTTCTGTACTACCCCCCCACCACCCTTTTCAGATGCAGGTACTGTACTACCCCCACCCCCTTCCTCAGAGTGAGGTACTTACTACCACCACCACCCTCCTTAGAGTGCAGGTACTGTACTTCCCATCACCACCCTTCCCTTTAAGTGCAGGTTGTATACCCCCACCACCCCCTCCTTTAGAGTGCCAGTACGTCTCCCCCAAAACCCCTCCTTCAGAGTGCGGTCGTAATACCCACCCCCTCTCCTTAGGTGCGGGATGTACTTCCCACCCAACCACCCTTCCTTCGGTGCAGGTACTGTACTCCCACCCCCCCTCCCTTTAGAGGCAGGTACTGTACTTTTCCCCCCACAACCCCCCTTCGAGTGAGGTACTGTACTACCCCCCCACCTTCCTTCAAGGTGCAGGTACTGTACTTCCACCACCACCCTTCCTTAGGTGAGGTACTGTATTCCCCCACCACCCCCCTTAGGAGGTCTGTACACCCACTACCCCCCTTCCTTCAGAGTGAGGTACTGTATTCCCCCCACCACCCCTCCTTCAGGTCGGTACTGTACTACCCACTACCCCCTTCCTTCAGAGTGCAGGTTCTGTATTCCACCCCAACCCCCCCTTCGGGGCAGGTACTGTACACCACCACCACCCCTCTTTAGAGTGGGTATGCTACCCCCCACCACCCCTCCTTTTAGAGTGCGGTACTGATCTTCCCACTCCCCCCCTCTTCAGATGCAGGGACTTTTCTACCCCCACCCCCCCTCCTTTAAGTGAGGTACTGTACTACCCCCCACACACCCCCTCAGAGTGCAGGTACTGTACTACCACCACCACCCCCCTCCTTCAGAGTGCAGGTATGTACTACCCCCCTACCACCCCTCCCCTTTAGGTGAGGGACTGTACACCCCACCACCCCTCCTTCAGGTGCAGGTCTGTATTACCCACTACCCCCCCTCCTTCGGTGCAGGTACGTCCCCCCCACCACCCCTCCTTCCGATCCAGGCTGTTTTTCCCACTACCACCCCCCTTCAGATGCGGTACTGTCTACCCACCACCACCCTCCTTCAGAGTGCAGGTACTTACTACCCCCTACCACCCCCCTTCAGAGTGCAGGTACTGTACTACCCACTACCACCTCTCCTTCAGAGGCAGGTACTGTCCTACCCCACCCCCCTTCCTTCGAGTGCAGGACTGTACTACCCCCCACCCCCTCTCCTTCAGAGTGGGTATGTAAACCCACAACCCCTCTCCTTAGAGGCAGGTCGTACTAACCCCCCACCCCCCCCTTCAAGTGCGGTACTGTATTACCCCCTCCCCCCTTCCTTCAGGTGCGGTACTGATCCCCATCCCCCCTCTCCCTTAGAGTGCAGGGGCGTATACCCACCACCACCCCCCCCTTCAGAGTGCAGGTAGTACTAAACCCCTCCCCCCTCCTTTAGGTGCAGGGACTGTACTACCCCCCCACCACCCCTCCCTTTCCGGTGGGGGGTATGTAACCCATACCACCCCCCCTTCCCAGTGCAGGTACTGTACTACCCAAACCCCACCCCCCTTTTGGTGCAGGTACTGTACTACCCACCACCCCCCCTTTCGAGTGCAGGTATGTATACCCATACCACCTTCCTTCAGAGGCAGGGCTGTATACCCCCTACCACCTCTCCTTTTAGAGTGCAGGTACTGTACCCCATTCCACCTCTCCCTTTAGAGTGCAGGTACTGTAACCCACCCCCACCTTCTTTGAGTCAGGTAGTTTACCCATCCACCTCTCCTTCAGAGTGCAGGTACGTACTACCCACCACCACCCCCCCTTCAGGTTTGGGATGTACTACCCACCACCACCCCTCCTTTAGAGGGAGGTACTGTACACCCCCTACCACCCTTCCTTTTAGAGTGCAGGACTGTACTACCCACCACCCCCTCTCCTTGAGTGCAGGACTGTTCTACCCCCCCCACCCCCCCTTGGTGCAGTACTTACTACCCACTACCACCCCTTCCCCTTCAGAGTGCAGGTATGTACTCCCCATACCACCCCTCCTTCGGTGAGGTACTGTACTACCCACCACCCCCCCTCCTTTAGAGTGCGGTTTTGTTACCCACTACCCCCCCCCTTCAGAGTGCAGGTACTGTATACCCAATACCACCCCTTCTTGAGTGCAGGTACTGTACTACCCACCACCACCCCTCCTTCAGAGTGCAGGTACTGTACTACCCACCACCACCCCTCCTTCAGAGTGCAGGTACTGTACTACCCACTACCACCCCTCCTTCAGAGTGCAGGTACTGTATTAGGAATCTTAACCACATATTTCGCCTGTGCTACAGACTTTGTAGTCGTGTGTTATTATTATTATTTAATCAAGGGGGGAAACGCTAAACCCGGAGGATTTTTCAGCGCCTGGGGGGGGGGATGTGGGAAAGGGATTCACTTAATTCGGGGAAATGGAGCACGATCCAATTTCCCTTTAAAACAAGAGCCCCCCACCAAAATAAAGGGAACCTTTCCTTGAGGGGTCAGTCTGTAGAGAGTTTTCACCTCCTAGAGACGTCGGTCTTGATGGTAAGATAAGATAAGATAAGATTTCGTTCGGATTTTTAACCCCGGAGGGTTAGCCCCCCAGGATAACCCAAGAAAGTCAGTGCGTCATCGAGGACTGTCTAACTTATTTCCATTGTGGTCCTTAATCTTGTCCCCCAGGATGCCACCCACACCAGTCGACTAACACCCAGGTACCTATTTGCTGCTAGGTGAACAGGACAACAGGTGTAAGGAAACGTGTCGAATGTTTCCACCCGCCGGGAATCGAACCCGGGCCCTCCGTGTGTGAAGCGGGAGCTTTAGCCACCAGGCCACCGGGCCACCCCAAGATCGTGTAAGTGCGGAAATAGTCTGAAGTAATCGGTCCCTCACTCTAGGTACCACATGATTACCCAGCACCTCGGGTGAGGGACTGATCCACTCAGACCACTTCTATACTCGTTTACCTCGTCCTACACCTGGACTGATGTCTCCAAGAGTGTGACTTTTCTCTGTACTCGACTGATGAAACCTGCAGCACAGAGCAAACTTTTCCTCAGCTCAGATTTCTAGTGTTGTTGAATTAGCCACACGTTTCTCCACTTGTTGGCGAAACGTCTACAGAATAAAGACAGCCAGTTGTTGCACACACGTCTAGTTTATCATCCATTGTTAGTGTCACATTTTTATTATTACTGGAATATCGAGACTATAAGTATTGTGTACCAGTTATTTAGGTGCTTAATGAGGCACCTAAGTTCCCCTGTCTCCTAATATCATGTTTATTTCTCCACTATAATCAACCTGTGTATAATTACTCTCACATTTACTTTCATAAGGTCAAGTCCAGGATCTTGACTTAATTTATGGTATAACTCAACAAATCTGTGATAACAATTATAGCAGAGTTGTGAAGGAAGTTCAAACTTCTGCAATAAATCAAGTTTTGTGGCGCCAAGTTGACTCTCCGTGAACAGAAATATTTTCTTATTAAGATGTAAAAACAACGAAAGGAAAACAATTGATTGGATGAGATTTATTTATTTATTAGTTTTAGTTAGTTAAAGATTCGCCGGTATTCTCCCGGCCCGGGCCTTTTCCAAGTGGTGGCCCGGCCTTGGCTCCCTCTTTAGGGAGTGTCTGAGACCTAAGTCTCCCATGGGAGGAGGCACAAGTACCTCCTCATCTTTGGGACCAACTGTCCCCAGGCCTAGCCACAAGCTAGGCCTCTCTGGTCTGCCATCCCCGCCCCAAGGGGACTAATGGGAATGACAGTCTTATGAGCTAAAGGCTCGGGCTCAGGCACCTACCCTACCCTAGAAGGGCTGGGCATGGTATCGATCTATTAGTTTTGTGACGAACATTGTGGTGGTGACCTGTTTTGTACGTGTTTAAAACGTTACTTTATAATAGTATTATTATTATTATTATTATTATTATTATTATTATTATTATTATTATTATTGTTATTATTATTTTGTGGTGGTACAGTTGCAGCCTCGTCCAGTACAGTCTCACTGACATCTGTCTCACACACCAACAACCTAACTACACCACGTGAGTATTTCTCTTGTTTACCCAGTACAGGTGTTCATGACAGGTGTTCATGGCTGTTGTATAGGTGCTCATGACAGGTGTTCATGGCTGTTGTACAGGTGTTCATGGCTGCTGTATAGGTGCTCATGACAGGTGTTCATGGCTGTTGTACAGGTGTTCATGGCTGCTGTATAGGTGCTTATGACAGGTGTTCATGGCTGCTGTATAGGTGCTTATGACAGGTGTTCATGGCTGTTGTACAGGTGTTCATGGCTGCTGTATAGGTGCTTATGACAGGTGTTCATGGCTGCTGTATAGTTGCTCATGACAGGTGTTCATGGCTGCTGTATAGGTGCTCATGACAGGTGTTCATGGCTGCTGTATAGGTGCTCATGACAGGTGTTCATGGCTGCTGTATAGTTGCTCATGACAGGTGTTCATGGCTGCTGTATAGTTGCTCATGACAGGTGTTCATGGCTGCTGTATAGGTGCTCATGACAGGTGTTCATGGCTGCTGTATAGGTGCTCATGACAGGTGTTCATGGCTGCTGTACAGGTGTTCATGGCTGCTGTATAGGTGCTCATGACAGGTGTTCATGGCTGTTGTACAGGTGTTCATGGCTGCTGTATAGGTGCTCATGACAGGTGTTCATGGCTGTTGTATAGGTGCTCATGACAGGTGTTCATGGCTGCTGTATAGGTGCTCATGACAGGTGTTCATGACTGCTGTATGGTACTTAGTGGAGTGGAGTGACTTTCATTAGTTTCATTTTCTTGAAATACGAGACGTTACTGTGAATTTCATATAACCTGTAGTTACCAGCGGTCGCAATATACACAACGAGAAGCAATTATTACTACAGAAAAAGCGTCCTTCCTCCAAAATTTGCACCAGTCATACTATAGTGATAATATAGCATTTTTGTGGTGGAGACGGAAAAACAAAAATAGAAAAGCCAGATACAGCGATTGATTAAACAAAGAGGTCGACTGTACGTCATTGTGGGAGCTGCCAGATATCACCGGGCTCTTCAACACGCAAGTTATACTTTTATCAGTCAAATCACATATTACTCGGGTAGATAATTTCCCGTAGATCCTTCGTGTTAGCTCAAATCACTGGACCAGAAATTTTAAAATAAGTGACCCCCTGATCGGGAGCAGATCGACTGGTTCCAACCCTTGACTGGGTCCCGAAACCCTTGACTGGTCCGAAACCCTTGCCCTGGTCCCGAACCCTTGACTGGTCCGAACCCGGGACTGGTTTCAAAACAGTTTCGTTGGACAATAAAGCAGACTGTAAACGGATGGGTTGTAGGCGCCCTTATAAACACAAACATTAAAATCAGGAACGTGACGGTAAGCTGTCCAATATACAAAAAGAGTTAAAAACAGAAATACAAATAGCTAAGAGCTTCATTTAAGGTTTTTAAATAAATATTCAAGAGGTTGTAGTAGAATTGCAGTAAATCAACCATTCAAATCATTATAAAGCTGTGTGTATTTCTGTGGTCAGTCAAACAAACGGGCTACCACATGGATAAATTGTCATTTTTGTGGAAATTGGTGTCACGTCCTTGTGCAAAATTTCCCAGAACTAGCTACAAGCAGTATTAAAAACAGAGAAGTGTTTTTTTGGGTATGCCAATGAGGAAAAATCTGTGGACTAAAATCACAAGGGTTTTAAAAAGAGGATAACATCAAAGCTGCTTTCATAGAAAACCTGGAAGCTTTTCTACAACAGAGGGGAACATAAAAAAGTCCGGCTGAATGGTACTGCCCTTGATACTGGCCATGTAGGTCACAAACTGTAAGGCTGGAGGTGATGTCCTGGTAGTCAGTAAATGTAGGGCTGATAGTGCTGTCCTGGGAGCCCAGTAATGGTGAAGCTGGGAGGTGCTGTCCGGGGAAAACAGTAATGGTGAAGCTGGAGATACTGTCCTGGGAGACCAGTAAGGGTGAAGCTGGGGTGCTGTCCTGGGAGACAGAAATGGTGAAGCTGGAGATACTGTCCTGGTAGACAGTAATGGTGAAGCTGGAATTTTGTCCAGGTAGTCGGGAAATTATACGCAGGAAGGAATACATATAAATGACCTCATAGAGGACAGGAGCCATAGTAGGGAAACAAGTGTAGTCAAAGATAAAGATTAAAACCAATATTGCAAACCAGAAATACCGCAGGAAATAGCAAACAAGAGGACTCCAATAGCAATAGTGAGGATAAATTACCAAAAACAACTGGTGGGAGCTCCCTTGTTGGTGCTTAAGGAGGATAGGAATAAGACAGGGAAAACATGCACCAACAGGGAATACAGTCACGAAACCCAAGGCAAACGGAAACCAAGCCTGTGCACATACTATGCCCCTTGGTATCTGCTGGCATTTGGGGAAAACTGGAAAAACAGATGGGACATGCAACTATGACCACCCTAGAAAAATGTCATGCCCATTATGACAACAGGAAAATGCAAACTCCCTTCCTGTAAGCTTTTTCACCCCTGAAATGTGTACCTCTTCAGTACAGGAAAGACTGTGCTATAACTTAAATTGCCAGGCATACCATCCCAAAGGGGACAAAAAGATACAAAAAAATCCAGGCCATGGGAAAACCTGGGTAGCCACAGCCCCTCAAGAGGGGGAGGTTTTTTAGTGCCAGAAGGAAAAAAAAACTGGCAGGAAAAAGGCAGAAATCGTACACCAAATCCAGTCATTCCTGGGGTGGAACCACAGTCGTTGGCCTCCACTCCAAACCAACAGATACAGATACTAATGCCGGAAAAAAAATCCCCCCCAGTACCAACAATACCACCAGTCCGATAACATTCTTCTTTGCAAATATACAGGGTCTAAAGGGCCCGCAATAAACAAAAAAAAACCTTTCATCCGTTGGAAATGCTTGCAGAGGCAAAGGCAATGTTCGCGGGGTTTCACTGAGACCACATAAAGGATCACTTGGACAACGAAATATGGGGTCCCCAGGTTACAACCTATACAGATGTGACAGAGTGAACAGGCAAAAGGGGGGGGTTGGCCTGTACATTGCAGAGACACTGTTTGCACAGAACGCTTTTAAAGCCTCAAATGACGTAGTGGAAGTTTTAGCAGTAAAGGTCGAGAACCAAAACCTAGTCATTGTGGTTTGTCTACAAGCCTCCGGATGCAACATCCCAGCAATTTTCCCGGAACAGCTGTTAAAAATTGACCACTGTCTGGAAAATCTTCCAGCTCCTGCACCCAACATCTTGCTCCTGGGGGATTTCAACTTAAAGGGACCTAAAATGGAGGAATATAGCAAATAATATTGTTGCAGTAATAACACCAGGAGGCAGCTCTGATTTAAAACTCACACTCACACGAGCTTTTAAATCTCTGCACAAAATTCAATTTAAACCAGCAAATAATAGAGCCTACTAGACTGGAGAATACACTAGACCTCATCTTCACTAACAATGATGATCTGATAAGAAATGTCCCCATATCAAAAACAATATACTCAGATCACAACATAATTGAGGTTCAGACATGTATGCGTGGAGCCTCAGACCGACAAATGAGACTAGTCACGAGGGAGCATTCACCAAAATACAACTTCAATAACAAAACATAAAGTGGGACCAAGTAAACCAAGTCCTAACCGATATAAGCTGGGAAGATATACTAAGCAACACAGACCCAAACTTATGCCTAGAACAGATTAACTCGGTGCACTCGATGTATGCACAGGCTTATTCTCTAAGAAAAAGGAGGAGTAGATGTAAAATAGAAAGAGACAGGCGCTCCCTTTACAGGCGACGGAAAAGAATAACAGAGCGGCTAAAAGAGGTCAATATATCAGAAATGCGCAGGGAGACACTGGTCAGAGAAATAGCAAAGCATCGAACTTAAGCTAAAAGAATCCTTTAGGATTCAGGAATCGCGGGAAGAACTAAAAGCCATAAATGAAATCGAAAGAAACCCAAAGTATTTCTTCTCCTATGCCAATCAAAATCGAGAACAACGTCCAGTATTGGGCCCTACTTAAACAAGATGGGTCCTACACAGATGACAGCAAGGAAATGAGTGAGCTAACTCAAGTCCCAATATGACTCAGTTTTTAGCAAGCCGCTAACCAGACTGAGAGTCGAAGATCAAAATGAATTTTTTATGAGAGAGCCACAAAATTTGATTAACACAAGCCTATCCGATGTTATCCTGACGCCAAATGACTTCGAACAGGCGATAAATGATTATGCCCATGCACTCTGCCCCAGGGCCAGACTCATGGAACTCTGTGTTCATCAGAACTGCAAGAAGCCCCTATCACGAGCCTTTTCCATCCTATGGAGAGGGAGCATGGACACGGGGGTCGTCCCTCAGTTACTAAAAACAACAGACATAGCCCCACTCCACAAAGGGGGCAGTAAAGCAACAGCAAAGAACACAGACCAATAGCACTAACATCCCATATCATAAAAATCTTTGAAAGGGTCCTAAGAAGCAAGATCACCACCCATCTAGAAACCCATCAGTTACACAACCCAGGGCAACATGGGTTTAGAACAGGTCGCTCCTGTCTGTCTCAACTACTGGATCACTACGACAAGGTCCTAAATGCACTAGAAACAAAAAGAATGCAGATGTAATATATACAGACTTTGCAAAAGCCTTCGACAAGTGTGACCATGGCGTAATAGCGCACAAAATGCGCGCTAAAAGGAATAACAGGAAAAGTTGGTCGATGGATCTATAATTTCCTCACTAACAGAACCACAGAGAGTAGTCGTCAACAGAGTAAAGTCCGAGGCAGCTACGGTGAAAAGCTCTGTTCCACAAGGCACAGTACTAGCTCCCATCTGTTCCTCATCCTCATATCCGACATAGACAAGGATGTCAGCCACAGCACCGTGTCTTCCTTTGCAGATGACACCCGAATCTGCATGACAGTGTCTTCCATTGCAGACACTGCAAGGCTCCAGGCGGACATCAACCAAAATCTTTCAGTGGGCTGCAGAAAACAATATGAAGTTCAACGATGAGAAATT